CGTTTCGCGTCGCGTCGGCCAGTTATTTTGACAGGTTCCGCGCCTGCGTTCCCTCATTGTGAAAATTTCGAAGTAGGGGACTGAGTCCAGTTTCTCTACTATGCACACTGCAGCGCGCCTTATAATCTTCGCCTGTGTTTCAATGCTCTTTACAGTGACATTTGGAACTAAGGCCCTCTATACACTATACGCAACACCCTAAGATGCTTGATGGAAATGAATTAATGTACACGGAAAAAATAAATTCTGTAAGAATTCCTGAATTTGTTCCATAATTGAGGATTTGTGCAAAGTTCCAGAAATTTTTAGAAATTCAATGTAAGTATATCTGAATCGTTCCGAACTAATTACGAAACGGTTTTTGTGAGACTTTCAAAATCAGCATTGTAAATAAATTCCTGGAGAAATACAGGACTGGTCTATAATATTATCGAAATTTTGTCGTAGAAATTATATTTCTTCTAAAATAGTATTTACAAGCGTCTAATCAAGGAGAACTCCAGTTTAAATTTCATAATAATTCCCGAACTTCATCGAAAGAAAAGATGTGCCGACCCCGTTTCTCACAAGCGCTGAATAAAAGTAAAGTCTAGTATATAAGAGACTTCCCAGGTCCCTACAACCAGCGTGCGATTCAATGCGTCGTGTATTTGCGTTTATTTGTGTATAAATTATGTGTGCATTAGAATATATGTAGGTAGCTATAAGTGTATTATGTATGTATGTGTGTGTGTATCCTCCTCAACCAATCACAGTTCGCCTTGCTTGACGAATGTCGATCAAGTATATACGTGTATACACAACTTCTTTTTTTATTTTCTTTGCTACGGAATTGTTCCGGAACTATTCTGTAGCCCTTATAAGAGCTTCTTCATATATGAAGCGACCCTCTGAATTTTTCCCGAACTCATCGGAAGTTCTACCGTCCAGACTATCTGAAATACTCAGCCGCTACATTTCGTAAAAACTATCACATAAATACCGAGTTCTTACCATATAATTCCTGAATATCTATTTTGAAAGTTCGACATATCTTCCAAATAACAGCTCTATAATAATTACCGACTTTTGCTCATATCCTCAATTTCGGAACGAATTCAGGAACTATTTCCGAATTATTTTTTTCCGTGTACTTTTACTGGACTGAGTCCAGTTTTTTCAATATTGACTCCCAGTTTTTCAAACTCTATTTTTCTCAGTGGCGTTAATCGTAGTTATTTTCTGTTCAAAAAATATATTTTCTGCGTATTTCACATTTGCCATTTTCATAGAGTAAATCGAAACAGATAATTAAAGTTAAGATATTATATATTTAATAATTTTAATCGTTCAAACTTTATAGCTAACCTAAAAAGCCTGAAATTTCACACAAGTGTAATCAAAATTTTTTAGTATTTTATTAACTGTGCTTAAGTGTTGTACCGTTATAATAATGCTTGCATTTTAATGTTATAATTTATTGTTTGTTATTTTTTTATTAATTACTAATGACACATAAATGTCATAAATAAATAAACGTAGACGAAGACGGGTCGACAGCTAGTACATTATATAATTGAGGGCGTGGAACGGATAACTGCCTGCTACGCATGGTTGAAAGGGACTATACCAGTCAGACAATAGTGAGCGCCTCTAGGAATCTCAATGATGTCTGACTGGCATAGTCCTTTTCGACCATGCGTTGTAGGCAGTTATCCGTTCCACGCCCTCAATTTTTAACAAAAGAGTTATTGTTGTAAAAATGTTATAAACAATTAGCCTGCATTTTTATACTGTATGAGGTATAAGGATAGTTTTTGACGTTCAAATTTTTTTAAACAAAATTTTTACCATTAAAAACTATCCTTATATCTCATACAGTATAAATGCAGGCTAATTGTTTATAACATTTTTACAACAATAGGGAGCGTTCATAAATAATGACACGTTTTTTTTTGGGGGGGGGGTCTCTACTAAACGTGACACAATGTATTTTTACATGTGAAATTGCGTGACAGGGGGGAGGGGGGTCTAAAATCCCGAAAAATTGCGTGACATTATTTATGAACGCTCCCATAGCTCTTTTTTTAAAAATTATGTAATATACGTTCTCGTAGTTGTTTTTCTGCGTAGAATCTTATGGCGCTATAAGTTTTTTATGAAAATCAATTTTTCTTCCTTTGTTTATAACAAATTGTTTGAAAAAATTTTTTTAAACAAAATTTTTAACGCCAAAAATTATTGTTAAACTGTTAATAATAATAATATATATACGTATATAATTAATAAATGTATTAGGGGCGAGCAGTAAAGGTCATATCGTCTTTTAAAATACACTGTTATAGGCGTTGCTTAGTTTTCGTAACACACAAATACTCGTAGCGTAAACTTCAAAAATTTTTATAAAAAACATCAAAAAGCACTTCTTTAAAAATTTAACCACTTATTAAGGAAGGTTCAAATTTTGAGAAACTAATTTTTCTAGGAAATTCCATGATGTTCCTAGCATGTTTTTTTAACAATAAAAAATTATTGTTAAAACAAATTACACTGGTTTACAGTGAAATTGTCAATCGAACAAAACAATTTTTTTTCGAATAGTAGGTGTTTTTTGAGTAAGAAAATCATAGTTTTAATTTTTTTCCCTCGTGCAGTTTTTCTGTAGCTTCAAATTTTGCATTTTCGAGGTGCGACGCCACTTAAACTTACATGTAGGAAAATTAGCTTGTCAAAATATAATAAATGAGGTATCATTGGAAAGGTTATTAAATTACCTTTCGATACATAGGTCACAGAATAAAGTTCAACAGAAAACGAGAGAGTTACAGTCGATTAAAGATGAAATTTCATGACAATTTTGATGATTTTTAGACATTTGAGTAACTTCTACTATTTTTTTCTACATCAAACAGGAAAGAATGTTTAGGTTTTAATTTTTTTATTGATGGACTATATCATTACACAAATTTTGAGCCCTTGTGGACCTCGATTGGATTAAAAATGACAATTCTACACTAAATTTAGTGCACGAAACTACATTCTTCATTTTTAGTATCCCTTAAACATTTGCAGCAAAAATTGAAGTAATAAAATTTGGTTAAGTGCTAAAGTTACTAAAATCACTAATAAAGGATTTCTGAAATCGTAGATTTCGAATCCAATGTTAGTTTTCTAAATTTCAAAATGGCGGATCCAATATCGCCCACAAGTTTTTAAAAATCGATTGAATTCGTCTTGAATTCGTTACTCGGGGGTTTTCGGGGTCGCTGATTACGAATCTGATGTCGGATTTCGAAAATTGAAAAGGATGGATTCATAATGGTGAACGAGTTTTTTAAAATCCATCGAATTTGCACCTATTGGATCCGCCATTTTTAATTTTTAAAATCTGACATCAGATTCGTAATCAGCGACCCCGAAAACCCCCGAGTAACGAATTCAAGACGAATTCAATCGATTTTTAAAAACTTGTGGGCGATATTGGATCCGCCATTTTGAAATTTAGAAAACTAACATTGGATTCGAAATCTACGATTTCAGAAATCCTTTATTAGTGATTTTAGTAACTTTAGCACTTAACCAAATTTTATTACTTCAATTTTTGCTGCAAATGTTTAAGGGATACTAAAAATGAAGAATGTAGTTTCGTGCACTAAATTTAGTGTAGAATTGTCATTTTTAATCCAATCGAGGTCCACAAGGGCTCAAAATTTGTGTAATGATATAGTCCATCAATAAAAAAATTAAAACCTAAACATTCTTTCCTGTTTGATGTAGAAAAAAATAGTAGAAGTTACTCAAATGTCTAAAAATCATCAAAATTGTCATGAAATTTCATCTTTAATCGACTGTAACTCTCTCGTTTTCTGTTGAACTTTATTCTGTGACCTATGTATCGAAAGGTAATTTAATAACCTTTCCATTGATACCTCATTTATTATATTTTGATAAGCTAATTTTCCTACAGGTAAGTTTAAGTGGCGTCGCACCTCGAAAATGCAAAATTTGAAGCTACAGAAAAACTGCACGAGGGAAAAAAATTAAAACTATGATTTTCTTACTTAAAAAACACCTACTATTCGAAAAAAAATTGTTTTGTTCGATTGGCAAAAAAAAGTTTTTAATTTGTAAACCTGTGTTATTAAATTAATATTAATATTATAAAAAATTGACATTTTCTCTATAATTTTCAATAAATGAGTTTTTCTTGTAGAATCAATAGTTTTCGAAATAAAAATTCTCGAAAAAAGTAATTTTTTTCAAATTCCGAATTTTAAAATGTAGGGGAAGTAGGTGCAGTTGTTACAATTTTGATAAAAACAGTTACTGTGATTAGAGTTTAACTCCAATTTGTTTCGTCAAACGATTAAATCAAAGGTATATTATCTAGTTTAAAAAGGCCATAATTGATTTAGCTCTATATCTATTATTTAATTAACTAGAATCATTTGAGTGACAGCGTGTAAATTGTAACAACTGCACCAAGTGAATGTCGGTTGTTACAATACTAAAAATCATCTATAAAATTTCTAAATTGAAGACAAATAATTTTTTATAACCATTTTTATTAATTATTTATTTATATTTACAGTCAACTCTATGAATAGTGCCGCAAAATTGCACAGCGTTTACGACTTTTCTTGGAACTGTAGTACCCCCACTGTTTGTATATTTCTCTCTTAAGGGAAACTCGAAATTCAGAAGCCGTGCTGAGTCGCTAAAGTGGGGATAGAGCTCGAGCGAGAAAGAGGAGAAGTGGCACTATTGATAGCGGCACTATTCGTAGAGTTGACTGCATATATTATTTATATCTTGCAAAAAAATGTTTTTTTGAAAAACTGTTTGGCACAGTTGTTTAGTACCCCAAGTACTACAAAATTACAGAGTTTAAAAAAAATCGGTGATCCACCATTTGGTTTTCCTATGGAACTGCCCTATTTTATTATTAATCATTAATCATAATGAGGAAGCAAAATGGTCATGAAATGAACAACTTGTTTCTTTTGTGTTATTTCTTACAGGTCGGATTAGCGGTAGTGAATGGTCAACTTTATGCAGTTGGCGGTTTCGATGGTACAGCATATTTGAAAACAATTGAAGTATACGATCCAGAGCAAAATCAGTGGAGACTGTGTGGCTGCATGAATTATAGGAGACTCGGAGGTGGTGTAGGAGTGATGAGAGCACCACAAACTGAAAACTATATTTGGTAGCTCAGGCCCCCCTCTTCAGTCCACTCGGCTGAATCTCCAGTAACCCCGGTGACTCCAGTAACACCAGTTACACCCCCGGCACAAGTGTCAGCGCCAACTGTTACTACAAACACTAGAAAACGTTATCGTCGTTCAATGAGCATTATTTAAATCGCGATAACAATTTTCAAAGACTTTTTTTCTAACAGCTTCACATCATCCATTTCCCTTCTTCTTTCTTTTATTCTTCTTTATCATTCATTTTCATTTTTCTACAAAAAATTCCGTTTTCTCAGATTACTCTCTTTTCTACAGTATCTTTCTTCATGCTTTCTTTTTAATATAAAAGATAAAAGACTTTTTTGCACATAAATTTTAATAAGTTAAATTTATTAAATTAATCTTTTAAAAAATTAGTAATATGAATTAAATTTTTATTTAATTTTATAAAAATACGCTTTTTTTCGATACGCTTGGCAGGTTTTTCCATCGAATAAAACTTCGGAGAAAAACTTTTGTGATTTCACTTGAAAAAAATACAGAATGACGGACGAATAGAAAAAAATTATTTCAAAAGACTTGATGGCTAATAAAATTAGTCAAACTAATATGTACAGCTTCCATTTCGTCTAGGGACGAATTGACTTTTAATATTTAAGAGATATTATTTATCAAACAAAAAAATTTCAGGATATTTTTCCTATTTAAAATACTAAAAATTCATTAAATTTTTCCAAAAAAAATATTGGGATTGCATTAATAAAAATTATTTTGAGTAATTGAAACTTTCGCTTTCCATTTATTACAAAAAAAGCTAAATGCATTTCAACTTTTCAAGAAATCTTAATTTTTTTTCTTAAATTTCAACAATCCTCGTAATTAATAACTTCCAATAATTTAATATTGTAATTAAAAATCTATTAAATTAAAATTATAAACAAAAATGTTAATCGAATGAAAAAATAAATTTACAGAAAATATAACAAAATCAATTTGAATGAAATTTAAAAGAATGGAAAGCTGATAAAATTATGTAATTTAAACAAAACTTTGTGCAATTGCACAAAAATTGAAATTGACTTAAATATAAAAATGTTGTTTAAAACAAAGTTAAAAATACATAATTTACTAAGTAAAATAATACCACTTTTGTTAAGCATAAATATAAATTTCTATCAGCTAAGAAAAAATTTCTAAAGTGCAATAGTTATTACAATGTAATGTAAATGTGGAAATGTAAAGAATGAAATTATAGAAAATAATTTAAAAAATTGGGGTGTCAGAAATCTTTTTCGAATTACTTTTGTGAGCCAAAAGACTATTTAAACTGAAATTTACTTATTAGTAAAATTATATTTTTATGTCTATTTTTTAATATTTTCATTTTTCTGGTAACAATTTAATTTATATATTCACAGTGGAACCTCGATAACTCGAATTTCAAGGGGAATGCCAAAAACTTCAAGTAATTGAGCTGTCACTTAAGGGGGCAACCCTAGTTGAAGCGCGCAAAAATTGACCATTTTCATAAATCAAATAAAAAAATATTTATTAACATTTTTAAATAAAACAATTTATTGTCTAAAAATACACAATTTAAACCACAAATTCCGATAATAAATTTTTAAAAACATTTAAAAATGGAGGCGTGGTGCGCGATCTTGTCGAGGTCTGCATAGTTTGCGGTGACAACGATTTAAAGAGCTGGTTCATCTGAAACACAAAATTCAAACGAATTTAGTTAAAGTAGAATATAATCTAGCCTTTAGTCGAAGGATTTATTTTTTATAAATAACTTTTTTTTACAGCTGAAAAACATTTTTTTTTTTTGTGAAAATTGAAAAGTTGAGTTTGAGCCGTTGCCATTTTGTCAAAAATGAATTTTTTTTAGCTTTCGATTAAAGACTAGATAATCTTCTACATTAACTAAATTCGTTTGAATTTTGTGTTTCAGATGAACCAGCTCCATATAATCGTAGTCACCGCAAACTTTTTTTTATGCAAACCTCGACAAGATCGCGCACCACACCTCCATTTTTAAATGTTTTTTAAAATTTGTTATCAGAATTCGTAATTTAAATGGTTTACTTTTAGGCAATAAATTGTTTTATTTAAAAATTTTAGTTGTCTTTTTTATTCAATTCATGAAAATGGTCAATTTTTGCGCGCTACAACTAGGGTTGCCCCCTTAACGAGGATTGCGAATTATAAAGGCCACAATTTAACAATTAATTTTAAAGACCACAAATATAATTGACCACAATTTCGACTTACAAATTTTAAGGAGAGTCCAGAATAGAGTCGACGTCGGTATAAACGCGATGATACTAACGCGCTCCTCCTATGTATTCCATATAGACGAGCGCGTTACTATCAGAGCGTTCGACTCTATTCTGGACTCTCCTTTAAAGTAGATTTTTCGAGTTGAGTTATATAATTCAACTTAAGTCCATTGAAGATTAATTAACTTCAATGGACTTAAAGTAGAAGGTTAGGAAAAATCTGTTATTTTTCTTTGTGTCAGAGTATCAGAAAATTGTTTGTCAATACATAATTCAAAGTGTGATATAATTATTTTACAAAATTCGACTTACCGAGTCTACATTTCAAACTTCAAGTTATAGAGTATATAGAGTACAAATATTTAGCACTAAGTAATAACTTAGTAGAGGAACAATATTTTGTTCGAGTTACAAACTTAAATAATTGGAGATAATGAGTTTCTAGGGGTTCAACGGGAGGGGAATGCCATTTTTTCGATTTACTGAGGATTTCGACTTAACGAGGTTCAAGTTATAGAGGTTCCCTGTATATGTATAAATTAAGCTAGTAGATGTTTAATAATGTAATGTTTATTTTGCAAGTGATATGTGTGAGTGTTAAATCATAATTTTATGAAAAAAAATTTCAGCAGTTGCAAAGAAGAAACACAGATGAGAAAAAAAATAGTAGGTCAATTATTTGACATTTTGGTCCATCTTAATTCTCAATTGCGAAGTTTTGTCCTATGACACTGATATTGTATAAAAAAAGTAAATTGTAAATGTCTCATTGTTTTCTATGTATATATTAAAATTGTGAGAATGTTGATGCAAAATATATATTGTTAAATCATTTAAATGTATTATTTCATCCCAATTTTTATAGATTGAAAAAGAAATTAAGGTTTTAAATCTACAATTATTATTTCCCCAACACCTGCAGTAAAATTGAACTATTGTTCGCTAAGCACCAGTGGAGGAATGAGAATAGAGATATAAGATTAGAGTGCGCAGGAGGACTGAAAGCAAATCAACTCCGTAGAAGGAGACGGGTAGTGTTCTCTCGTACCCTCTTCTTTCTCTGTTTTAATAACGCCCGTGTATTAATTTTGCCATGGCCTTAATTAGGGCTGATCAGGCTTCCCTATTATGGCATGATCTGTTCCCAATCGGGCGAGGCGTTTCATGCCCTACACGAAGAAAAATGGATTATATGTGATATAATCCAGATTATACTTATCTTATGATATTTTTACATTGTATATAGGACAGATAACCGGGATTATAAAATTGAATATCTAAGTATTACCACTTTCAAATTATTGATCATATTAATTTAGATTATAAAACTTGCATCAATATAATTAGTCTTTAGGTTATTTTAAATAAATAAAATTTTGACAAATCAGAACTAACCCATAAATTTAAAAAAATTAATTTAATATTTAATTGCCTAATAATAAAATTAAAAAAAATAAATATTTTGAATTTGTTGTGTTACGTACAAAGTACTTAACAGGTACTATTTTATTATTATTTTTCTTTTTAATAAAGCTACAAAAGATAGGACAGAATTTATAAAACATAAATTCCTATATATTTTATAATATTGTTTATAAATTATATGCATAAATTTATAAACATTATTAATAATTAAAATTTTATATAATAAAAGAAGCCTCTATTTGAAAATAATTAAAGGTAATGCATTTCACACATATGCATTGAGACGACCTAGGTGTATACGTGCACATCCACTGGCTACAAGATCTAACACGACCACACCCTTGAGATCTTTGCGTTAAGGGCACACATACAAGCATGCTACACATGCCTCTGCTCATTGCCTTGTCTCTCCTATTGTCTTTCCTTGACTCTCCTTCCTTTTTCCCCTTTGGGCCTACAAACTTAGGGACTAGAATATCATAACAAATGCACATGCATTTGGAGGCTGACTCAACGCTTTCCCAGTAATAAAGGATTTTTTAATATAGCATTTTGGACGATTGAGCAAGCCGTCTGCTCAATTGTCCAAACGGCATTTGGACAATTGGACTGGTTGCTCAATTATCCGATGCATTAGGTCCAATCATCCCAAATGTTTTTCGTGGCTGAAAAACTGCTGAATTAAGAAAAAATGTACTGAAATGTTACAGAAACTTTAGAAAATTCTTAATTCCAGACAAATACAGAAAAATTAGGTATAAAAATAACTCGAGTGAGGAAAAAGAACAAGATTTCTAAAATATCACTTTTTAACTGACAGTGCAATGCTGTACTTGGAATTTAGTTGGCAAAGAAGTGAGGATTCTGATAAAGAGAAACACTTCATTATACACTCTCAATACTCCTCATGTGGTAATATATTGTGGATTTCGGATTCTCATTTTAAAAAAGAGATAATTCAGCAAAATAAAATATTATTGTTAATACACTATTATTGAAAATCTACAAATATACATATTACCACATGAGGAGTATTGAGAGAGGATAATGAAGTGTTTCTCTTTATCAGAATCCTCACTTCTTTGCCAACTAAATTCCAAGTACAGCATTGCACTGTCAGTTAAAAGTGATATTTTAGAAATCTTGTTCTTTTTCCTCACTCGAGGCATTTTTATACCTAATTTTTCTGTATTTGTCTGGAATTAAGAATTTTCTAAAGTTTCTGTAACATTTCAGTACTTTTTTATTATTTCAGCAGTTTTTTAGCCACGAAAAACATTTGGGATGATTGGACTTAATGCATCGGATAATTGAGCAACCAGTCCAATTGTCCAAATGCCGTTTGGACAATTGAGCAGACGGCTTGCTTAATCGTCCAAAATGCTTTATTAAAAAATCCTTTTTTACTGGGTTATGAAGCGTATATATTTTATTCGTTTTATGCACTATTCCAAATTTACAGAAAATAATTTGATAATAGCTAAACATTTTATTGTAACTTATTGTTAACAATAAAATGCCGGAGGACTGTAAGTTGCATGTATATGTGTATATGTATAATTATGAATGCAAAATACATATACTAGTAGGGTAACACGGGACGGGTCAGGCTATTTTTCTCGCGATATTGCTTAAAATATGTTATTGATTATGCAAAAGTATCGTATAATTTATTTTCAGAAACAAATATAATTTTTAATTTTACTTAAATTTTTGTGATTAAAGTGATTTACAAATAAATACAAACAAATATGTAAAAGTGAAGCCTCTGACCCGTCCCGCCCCGGGCTTGGGGCGGGACGGGTCACCAACCGGGGCGGGACAGGTCAGTTCGAAAAACACGTTTATTTTATTTATAAATGAAGTTTTTTACATAAAATAAATAATTATTTAATGCAGAACGATTTTTTAAATATTTAATAGTGAGTGGAACAGACGTTTGTAAGTATTGTTTCACAATTTTATTGAAAAATTTGGCATCATCTAACGTGTTACAGAAGAATAAAGATTAACTTATAGAATTACATTAAATTCATTTAAATTAGTGATCTTTTTTTAATAAACAATACATAAAATCAATATTTTTAAATCAAAACTTAAAAGATTAATTTAAAACTCGTCGGATTGTTAACGGAGATGACAATGATGATGTAGCGGATTGCACTGGATTTTGATTATGAACTGGTCGAATTGTTATAGTGGATGTAATAACTGGTTTAACGCACTGTGTTTTGTTTTGGCTGTATAATGGACGAATTGTAAGAGATGACGAAGGTATAATTGGTTGAACTTTCGGAGCAAACATCCGTGGTGCTGGTTGAACTGTCGGAGAAAACATTTGTTGTCCTTGTTGAATTCTCGGAGCAAACATTTGTGGTGCAGTTTGAACTTTCGTAGGAAGCATTTGTGGCGCTGCTTGAACTTGAACTGGCAATATTGCAGGTTTGGTCGAAGTATTATGATTTCTTTGAGTCGGTAAAGTTGACAATACTGGAACTTCCTGTGGAGTTAGCATATGGAGAGGCGTATTCCATATCGAATTTTCATTGGCTTGAAAGTCTGTACGCGGTTGAAACGGCATTGGCAACATACACTGGACAAATTGCACTGGAACTTGCACATTTAGTGCATTATTGGCTACAGCAACTGGTTGACTAGAGTTCTCTTTCTTCTTTGGTTTTTTAGGTTGCTTTTTGGATTTACTCATCGCAAGCGTTTCTTTGTACTCTGGTGAACTAATTACAGTAGTATATCCATGTCTTTTTGACTTTGGCTTATCATTTTTTAGGCTTTGTTGAACATTTGGATCAATACCACTTAAGACTCTGACTGGTTCAACATTAACACTATCAGCATTGGTCACAGGTAAATTTAATTCAATCGAGTCTTCGAAATCAGGTAAAATATTCTGCAAAATATAAAAACATATAGTCTGTTGTAAAAATTTTTATTAAAAATTTGTTATAAATGTTTTAATACTTACTACCAAATTGAGATCAGAGTTGCTGCTTTGAATTGAATCGTTTTGACAATCAAACTCCTTCTGAATGAGACTCGAGGAAATATCATACTCGTGGGAATCAGTATTTCGAAAATCTCCAGTTTCTCTGGTAGCAGGTACTATTCTATCAAGCTCAATCTGCGCTTCTTCAATCTGCTGTCGAAATGATCTACTTTCCTCTAAAATTATAAAAATATAATTAAAATTTTGACTAGATTTTTAGAAAAAAGAAAGAAATGTAATTATAATTTCTCTTTATAAAAGAGAAAATAATTTTTTTAGTATTTCCTACCATCAGTAGCATTGCTGAAAGAACTGCTGTTGTTGGTTTCGTCGTTTGTCATGGGAGTTTGAGAGGCAGCAAAGTCTGCAGCAGAAAATAAATTTCTGTTAAAAGGCCAAATCCCAGTTTTTTGAAAACCATTTTTCGCGGTACTCAATGTTGCAGCTGCTTCAAATGCTTTGCCAAAAAGGCCAAAAATTTCGAACATTGTGACGACTCGGTTCGGGTGAGTTCTGAGCCACTTTTGCACTTCTTTCGAGTAATTGAGACTGAGAGGCTTCATAAACGATACATCCAGAGGTTGGAGGCGATGCGTGCAATGAGGAGGCAAGCATAAAATAATTACGCCATTTTCTTGAGCAAGGTCAATAACATCCATGTTCTTGACATGACTTGTATGTCCGTCCAAAACGAGTAACACCGGGGATTCCTGGCTGCATTTTGTGAATTTTATAAATTCTTTGAACCATTTTGTGAAAATTTCTGAATCGATCCAACCATTATGATTAAACTCGGCCCAAGCACCTTCTGGTTTCCCTTCTAGGTACTTCTCCTTATCCCTTTTTCGAGGAAAAATTAACATCGGTGGCATGTATTGCCCGGCAGCCGAAAAACACACTTCCGCAGTTACTAACTGGCCTCGTTTAGCAGATTTTCGAGAAGCAACTTGGTGTTTACCTTTTAAAGCCACGATTTTTGGAACACATTTTGGTACAACACTTGTAGCGAATTCGTCCACATTGAAAATTTCTTTTGCGGTTAATTTTTTCTTTTCTAAAATATCCTCGAGGAGATCGTAGAATATTGACACATCTTTTTCATTAAATCCAGTTGCCCGTGCAGCTGATGTTGGTTCGGGTTTGCGCAATGATAATTGAGGGTGTCGCTTCATGAACTTTTCAAACCAATCTGGTCCTGCGATTCCTTTTTCAGAATTAAAAGGGTGCTTTATTTTGGTTTTGATGGCCAACTGAAATGCCAATTTACGAATTTCCTCCGCTGTTAATCCGAACATCCTTTCTTCCATGTGTAAAATATAACTACATAAAACAGATTCTTGTTTCTCATTGAAAACTGTTGTATATCCCAGTCCTGCAATAAAATTATTTAAAATTATGACAGAAAATTAATTAAATTTATTAGTTGTGCATAAAGTTAAAATTTGAGTTGGAAAAAGGCAAACGAATTATAGATTATGTTTAGAACAGGATTATCGTGATTAAAAGTTTCTTTTTGTGTCAGTAAAATAAAAATCAGTTTTTATTGAATTAATTCTCTTTGTGAATTTTCGCTTTAAAATTTCAAGATATAACCTATAATTTTTTACTTTTATGACCTCATTATTTACAGCGCGAATCAGAAATAAGAAATACGGGGAAAGAAATATTGTTTTAATAAAGAAAAATATACTGATTATTGACAGATAATATGAAACAAATTAATTCTTATTTCTCCTACAGAAAATATTAACGAAAATACAAGACGTTATAGCGCAAGTTTGGCTTCCGAAAACTCTATCGAAATGTGTAATAATGATTAATATATTAAAACCGCTTAATTACCTTTTTTACAGATACTATCAATAGTCACTTCCTCTTGCCTGCATTTTAAAATTCTTTTCCTTAAACCTTCTCGTGGAACAGAGTATTTTTCAGCTGCTTGACGGCAACTTAAATCTCCTTTTAAAACTACTTCAATAGCGGAAATCATGTTTTCCTCCGTCCAATTTTGTCGATTAGACTTAGATTTAAATTTTCGTACGATATTTAAACTAATATCACAGTGGGTTACATTAATTATATACTAAATTAAGTTCTAAACACTTAACTACCGCTACAAGTAACTCACATGTTTTCATGTACATAACCTTAAACCCAGCGACCACCAACCACAGACTCTCGACCCGTTGAGCCCCGTTCTTATGACCCGTTGCGCCCCAAATGGCATTTCACAAAAAAAGTGAAAAATTTAACATTTTACTTTAACAATCTTATAAAAATGTGTTAGAAAATTAAAATAGAGTAAATAATTGAATTTTATCACCAAACTAATCAAGTTTTCAACATTTTTTAATGTAATTACTTACCTTTTTAAAAAGTCCTTAATTAGCTAAAACACTACGTCCAAAATTTAAACACTCGCCTATTTTTCATTTATTATCTAAAAAAAATTTTTTTTGTAGAAAGGTTTGTAGAAACGTTTCTTTATTCCAAATAAAAAATTCTTGAAATAAAAATAATTAAATTTTTAAAGATAATCTCGTGACGCGATCGACCCCGGTGACCCGTCCCGCCCCGTGTTACCCTAACTTATAAAATGTAGGACCAATATAACGTTATTTATACAACTTATATTAAACACTTATAACTATAAATAAATTATAATTATAAATAAAAAATTGTTTCTTTACAATATAATTATAATTTACATATTTAGTTATAAAAATTGTTTCTGATAAGTATCAAATTAACAACGCCGTTTCTGTTCTCACAGAAACTGCATGCAATTAGAAACGTCAGCATAATGCAAAGTCCAATGGGCCTGAAGAATTTCCCTACTTCTAATTCTAAAAATCCTTAGTTGACAAATTTACCCCACTTTGACATCAGGACAAGAAGTAGAGGCTTGTCGCAAAATTTCCATCGCTGCTGTACAATTTTCCTCTTCAAGCGATCAACACCTGTCCTGGCTGCGGCCTGATAGATCTGTTGATCGCAAGAAAGTAGGAAATGCCGCGACTAAGCCCGTCTGCGCGTCGGACCCCCGCGTATAACATATCAAGTACAACGCGAAAGACAGACGAAAAATTTAATAGAATCTTCTAACCGACGGAATCCAGTGAGAGCTGTTTTGAGTGAGATTCCAATTAATTAAATATTTAACAATTGTGAACCTTGTTTCTTAACCGGCCAGTCCGTATGTGTAGTACCTGCGCCGTCTCAATGCAGTGGCCCCACAAAATTCGCGAGTTCGCGTAAATAAAAATAAGTCGCATAGACGACTTAATTTTCGACATTCAACTTGTGTTTTGCCCGATGGAGGATCCCTGTTTCTCGACCGGCCAGTCCGTACGCGTAGTACCTGCGCCGTATAAGAGAAATTATGCCCTGTCGGTAGGATTAAGGATTTTAGCGGTAAGTCTGTATCGTTTCAATGATTTAATGTTACTTTCAACTTTAATTCTCTTTCAAACATGTGCAAGTTTGTAAATTTCTTAAAATCTTGTTAAAATAAAATTTTAATGTAAATGCCAAATCTGATTTTATTTGTTTTAAAACTCCTGAAATAAATAAAGTAAATTGAAATAATTATTTATCAGAGTTAAAACAAAGCTAACCCGGTAACTTTTAAAAGTGGAAAAAACGATCCCGCATAATTAAACAAGGTCTTTTAGACCTTGGCAGCTTGGTGCCTCCCCAAATTTAAAATAAAAGGGCCATCTCAAAAGCCCAAATAAATAATTTATTTCTGGTTTGTAACATGTTGTTGCTAATAATTTATAAATTAAATTAATTTATCAAAAATTATCAATCAATAAATTTATTTTTTTAACACATAAATTTATTTATTTATAAATTTCTGGTAATTTTATTTTTATAAATCTACAAAACTATTCACACTATTAAAAAACTATTTTTAAAATTTCTATCAATTAAATAATAATTGATCAATTAATAACACTGTTCGACAAAATTTTGCTACAAGAATAAACGAAAGTGATTCTTACAGGATTTTCGACGTACCGTAAGTGAGGCTAAATTCGCTCATGTAGGGTAAATTCGCTCAACCGATATCTATTTTTTAAAATTCGATTAACATACTTTTTAGACAGAAATATTTAAGATTTACAATTGTTTTGGTTAATATAAATGGTAAACTTTAATTTAAAATTTATTTGCAGCAAATTCATTGGTAACTTTCAGTAGAAATTATATTTAAAACACAAGTGAATAATTTTCATATTGAACAAGTAGTATGAAAAAGTAGGAAATAAAGCTTTACTTCAAAATTTTTAAGTTGAATACTTCTGAACATTACATTTCCTGTATCTCCAACATGATATTCATAAAGCACAAAAATTAAAGCAATAAGCAGATTCTGCAAAAAATCAATTAAAAAAAAAAAATTCAAATTTGTTGTGTAAATTCGCTCAGGAAATAAGTCTACAAAAAAGATGTTTGGGCCTGGATATTTTAAGTATGTTAATTACTTTAATTTATAATTCGATTTTTTGAAATAATAGTACTCTTATAACTGAAAATTAAACGATTTAAAACGGTTTAAGCACTAAACTGTCAAACTTAACCTTGTTTTTTTATGGTTATGAGTACGTTTGATTGAATGATTGAATCTAATTACTTATTGATAAAACAATATTAAATATTTATTCCAATAACTTTGAATATTGTTCTTAATTTTTTTCTTTATTGATTCTAAAGAATATTTAGTTTCATTTTTGCAGATTATAATATATTTTGCCAGAATAATAATGGTGAGCGAATTTACCCATCATTTAAAGGTAAATTCGCTCACAAAAAAACGGCTTATAAATAATTTTCTGCAACATATTTCAATTTCTTTATGCAGTAATAGGAAAGATAAAGGGTTAAAGATTATATATTTTCAGTGCCAATGTTTATTTTCATCGTTTCCCGAAGTTATTTAAAAAAGAATTGAAAAATTGAGCGAATTTAGCCTCACTTACGGTAGATTACGAATCAGTAAGTGAAATTGTCCCATCACGTCTCAATTTTAAGAAAAACGGGGTCAAAGTGCCAAAAAATGGCTTTTATGGCACTTTTTGAAGTACAATAAAAAAAGAACGCGACGTGATAAAAAGCTCAAATATGGCTTAAATGAGAGCTCAAACCATCAACTTTAACATCCAAAAGCAAAAAAACATGTAGAAATAACTCAAAATTGTTGGCAACAAGTTTTTGCCGCATGCGCGTAAAATAGCTATTATTTTAGCGATCATATAGGGTAAATTGGTAAAAAAGTTGTTCCCCACAATTTTGAATTATTTCTACATGGTTTTTTGCTTTTGGATGTTAAAGTTGAGGGTTTGAGCTCTCATTTAAGCCATATTTGAGCTTTTTATCACGTCACGTTCTTTTTTTATTGTACTTCAAAAAGTGCCATAAAAGCCATTTTTTTGCACTTTGACCCCGTTTTTCTCAAAATTGAGACGTGATGGGACAATTTCACTTACAGATTCGTAATCTACGTCAAAAATACTGTAAGAATCACTTTCGTTTATTCTTGTAGCAAGAAAAAACCTTAATTTTGTCGACCAGTGTAATAAATAAATTTACAGACAAATAATTTCTTACTACACACAAAATTTATGCTTTGTAAGTAATAAAAATACTTTTAAGAAAAGGTTAAAAATAATATTCGCTTGTAATATTTAAAATAAAAAATGGTTATAATCAATTAATCAAAGCTAATAATAAATATATGAGGCATTTTACGTGAAATGTCCTAAGTTGAAATTTCAACTTCTTGAAAAAAATTGAAACTCGAGGAATTTGTTGTTCTATCAAGTAGAAATGTGACCCAAAAAATATTTTTGATTTTTTCGAAAAATTGGAGGGGGTAGAGGGGGGTCAATTTGACCAATTTTGCCAACATCGGCTACTTTGTGAATTTTTTCTGAACATACTTGTAATGGGAAAAATTTTTTAGAATATGTTTCTGAAAGGTTTTTTCGTCCTCTTTCCAATGGTGTATTTTATTTTTTAATATTTTAAAAATTTACCCTAATTTTTGATAATTTATATTTAATTTTCAATTTCCCAAAAATCGGTCCGTTTTTTTTTTAAATAAATTATTGCAAACGAAAGCTGAGGTTTTTTCCTATCGGCATGTAAATTTTCAGAATGCCCTTTTTTTTGTTTTTGAGTTATTGAATTTCAAAGAATAAATTGCGTCGCGGTTGCACTGAGCCGCGTGGCAATCCATGGCAACCGGCGTGAGACGAGGCGCCCGGGACGCTGCGCGCCGCAATTTATTCTTTGAAATTCAATAACTCAAAAACAAAAAAAAGGGCATTCTGAAAATTTACATGCCGATAGGAAAAAACCTCAGCTTTCGTTTGCAATAATTTATTTTTAAAAAAAACGGACCGATTTTTGGGAAATTGAAAATCTCTTATTATATTAATTTGCTTCCTTCGTTCGTTCGTCGTTCGTCGTCCAAAATATATATAGTAATAGTGCGCAGTAGTGTTCTATGAGTATTACGCGTTTGCAGTAGTGTTCTGAGAGTATCACGCATGCGCAGTAGTGTTCTGGGAGTATTACGCATGCGCAGTAGTGTTCTGGGAGTATTACACATGCGCAGTAGTGTTCTGGGACTATTACACATGCGCAGTACTGTTCTATGAGTATCACGCATGCGCAGTAGTATTCTGGGAGTATTACACATGAGTACCACGCATGCGCAGTGGTGTTCTATGTTACGCATGCGCAGTAGTGTTCTAAGAGTACCACGCATGCGCAGTAGTGTTCTATGAGTATTACGCATGCGCAGTAGTGTTCTATCAGTATCACGCATGTGCCTGGGAGTATCACGCATGCGCAGTAGTGTTCTGAGAGTATCACGCATGCGCAGTAGTGTTCTGGGAGTATTACACATGCGCAGTAGTGTTCTATGAGTATCAAGCATGCGCAGTAGTGTTCTGGGAGTATTATGCATGCGCAGTAGTGTTCTGGGAGTATTACACATGCGCAGTAGTGTTCTGGGAGTATTACACATGCGCAGTAGTATTCTGGGAGTATTACACATGAGTACCACGCATGCGCAGTGGTGTTCTATGTTACGCATGCGCAGTAGTGTTCTAAGAGTACCACGCATGCGCAGTAGTGTTCTATGAGTATCAAGCATGCGCAGTAGTGTTCTGGGAGTATTACGCATGCGCAGTAGTGTTCTGGGAGTATTACACATGCGCAGTAGTGTTCTATGAGTATCACGTATGCGCAGTAGTGTTCTATGAGTATCACGCATGCGAAGTAGTGTTCTATGAGTATTACGCATGCGCAGTAGTGTTCTGGGAGTATTACACATGCGCAGTAGTGTTCTGGGAGTATTGCACATGCGCAGTAGTGTTCTATGAGTATCACGCATGCGCAGTAGTGTTCTGAGAGTATCACGCATGCGAAGTAGTGTTCTGGGAGTATTACACATGCGCAGTAGTGTTCTGGGAGTATTACACATGC